TGCCAATGAAAATATTTTAACAAAATCGAAATTAAAGTAAATTGAGGTACAAAGATGCATTTTCAGGCGTTTCTGTGAAATACATTTAATTGCATTTAATTGGCAGGTTGCACTTGATAAACAACTCTTCAGATTAGCACATTTCTTATAGCTTTGCTTACTGTCTTACTTGTGTACGGTGTGTGGTCCTATAACCTGTGAGATTATTGATTGCTCACCAGCGCTCTTTAGCATGATAGACTGTGGCAGATATAGGATTGGGTTGTGTATAGAAAGAATGGATCCTCCTTTCATGTGCACTCTTTGTCCTAGTTAACTGCGCGGGTTGCGCAGCGAAGGGCGAATGTTTCCCCATCCTGATCGACGACAACGACCCTGTCTTTGGTGCCAAGCAAGATTGCTTCAACTTTCGCAGGTCCATCTATCAAGCTGATTCTTCGGGTGTCCGTCAGCAAATCAATTTCGTCACTTCCTATCTCGACGCGTCCTTTGCCTACGGCTCAGATGACACAACGGCAGCCCAGCTGACAGGAGGTAGGAAAAAACTTTTTCTTCTGGTTAGGAACAAAAGTCGAAATTGGGAAAAGCCATGATCGAAATTAAATATACAGGTCGGTCTATACCGCGCACTAATTTAATCTCCATCGGTTTCACGATCGACGCTGATTATGCCAGCAAAATTCTTGGTCAGCCTTGAATTATCGATTCAATTGGTCAGTAATAAAAATATCTAGATATTAGCTCCTCTCCCGTGCTTTCGGGTGAAAAATGATTATTGCTGCTTTGAACTACCAGCAGAAGCTTACTTCTGGTTAATTAGTTTGGGGCCAAAATACTCATTAAAAGTTTAACTGACGGTAAAACATCTTCGACCGCATTCTCTGAAGTATATAACAAAGATTTCTTGGTGGGCTTTATACTAGGATGACAGTCCCGTGGCTCTATATTGCCTGGTACCCTACCTGAGGGCGCTGTATTGATCCAGGGCCCGGGGGACTGTTAAAGACTGTCAATTTGGGCTGAGAATTCAAAGAGATTAACAATTAGATGACAGTCGACACGTCAGTACGGGAACGAGTCATGATTACGACAGAGAATAGGTACATGTGACAAACTGTATTTTTGTCATGTTTTCGAAATGTAGATTTTGGAAGCTTGAAACATCTCACCGACACAAAGACGGGTCGAGAGCTGTTGCCACCTGACAAAGCATTGGAACGTTGCGCTGGAGTCAATGAGACAGCAGGCATCTACTGCGGCAAGTCAGGGGACCGTCGCACTGCCACACAACCTGGCCTAACAGCCCTACATACCCTCTTCCTGCGTGAGCACAACCGCATCGCTAAGGAATTCCGCCAACTCAACCCTTCCCTGGGTGCCGATGATGTCTACCAGAAGGCCCGAAAGATCCTGGGGGCGGTGTGGCAGCACATCATCTACAACGAGTACCTGCCGCTGGTCGTCGGAGAAGATCAGTACAGATCTAAGAATCTTTCGCCGAACGCTCCTTACGCGTACGACCCGGCCGTGGACGCGTCGGTTGCCAACGAGTTTGCCGCGGCAGCATTCAGGTTCGGCCACTCACAGGTCCCGTTTCACCTCACCCGCGCAAACAAGCGGTACATGCGCAAGACGGTCCCCCAGATAAACATGGCAGAGGCGTTCTTCAATGCCACATTCATGTTCGACGAGTCTATCGATGATGGCGCTGTGGATTCAGTTCTACGGGGCATGACCTTGCAGAGTATGTATAAAGTAGACCGGCGTTACTCGGACGCCCTGACCAACAACCTTTTTGGTGACCCGGCAGTACAAGGGTGAGTGATGTATATTGAAGATTAATTGCTTGCCGTTTGGTCAAAAGGGTTGGTATTTCAATAATTTTGTGAATGAAACGCCGACTCATTTATTATTACACCCGTCTGAACTTTTCTGGCTGTATGTGGTCATTCTCCTTAGCAACGCCAGTTCAATGTTACGGGTCAATGCAAAAGTGAAGCAAATTTGATGTGGCAACACGTGCAGGAAAAGTCGCATGCGCATTTGCAAATTCACAGGACGAATACTCGATCTGTTACCAGAGTTTCAAATTCGTAAAAAAAAGGGTCTTCATTAAACTCTAAAGAGTCGGGTTATTTTTGCCCATCTCTATGCTATGGAATTCCATATCTGCGACGGACGACGCACGACGGGCGACGCACGACGGGCGACGCACGACGGAAAATGGCATGTTTGGAACTGGTAAANCGGGCGACGGGCGACGGCAGATATGGAATTCCATACTATGCCGGGGGGGATTCAGCCCCGCTAAGAACTCAGCTGTGCCGCACTTGATTTTGTTTTTAAATTTGGTATGAATGTAAAGAAACTCCTTATCATTAAAAATGTGAAGTTACGTATGGTTTTGTTGTTACAGTCGTTTGAAGTTGATGGCTACATACATGTGCACTGAGCACCAGACTGGAAAAAGTATAACCGTCTCGGAAAAATGAATGCTGAGCAAGAACAGTATGTCTGATTTTCACAAAATTGGTGTCAAAATGACAACAAACAGTTACTCTAAAACTCCTGAGGGTTCAACCCCCCCCACAAAAATGCACTGCTATATCGGGAAAATGTTTCGGGGGCGGATTCCGCCCGCCCCCAGCTCTTTCAGGCACTGGCGACCAGCACTTTCGACTAATGATGGCGCTTGCCTCATTCTCTGTCTCCTTCTGTCATTGTCAAATTGCCTTGTGCTTGCTTTCGCTCATTTGCAGCGATGGGTTTGATCTTGAGTCTCTCGACATCCAGCGGGGTCGCGACCATGGAATACCGAGCTACACAACCATCAGAAAGGATTTCTGTGGCTTGAGTGAAATCAGCAGCTTCCAAGACCTTGTTGATGAAGAAGTCATGCTAAACATGGACGCCCGCAGCCTTAAGAAAATCTACGGGTAGGGTGATTAAAGAGCCTCGAGCTCGACCAAGAGAGGGCGCAATTTTCCTAGCAACGCAATCTAGTTTGGTGTGAACTGCTCTTTGCCGGTTCACAAACGACTATGAAGTGTTTGCGTTTATGGTCGTGTCGCTACCAAAAAGATAAATATTTCCCCCCTCTCCGCAAATCTGGCTCTTTTCAACCGGGTTGCTTCTGCTTTTGTTGGAAATGGCATTCTTTCCCATGTGCGCCTCAGCGCGATTCGCAGTGACTCCAATAATTATGAGTAAATCTGTGTATAGTGTTTATTGAAATTTTACGGGAGTGAGAACGGCAAACGGATGTATCATAACTTGAAGCTGTACAAGAGCTTATCCAGAACCAAAGTGTTGGGGGTGCAAAATTGTATTTCTTGAGTGTGGAATTTCGGTTTCATGTGTTTTTTTCTGTTTTTTTTTTATGGTACACCTTTCATGATCTGTCGGGTTTATTCTAAATTTAAATGTAATCTTGAATTTGGTTGTTAGGCCTTTGCAAGTTCATGTATTGCATGTGTGCATTAAGAACGTCAGTTGCCGATTCGCAAGAACGATTTTCACCACAGTCTGGGTCCGATTTTCACACACATTGGTGTCAACATCAGACCGCAAGACATCACTAGAAAAACTCCTGTTAAAGGACTCGCCTCCGGCAAAATGCATCGCGATGATAGAGGAGAATTATGTCAGAGGTTAGATTGCACTTCCGGCTCTGTTAGGGTGAAAATGTGTATCCAAAAAGGATGTTAGTGTGAAATTGCACCTCATTAATCTTTTACGCATTGTGCAGAGACGACGGGGTACAGGACGTGGATGCTATTGTCGGTCTTGTCCTCGAGAACCATCTTCCGAACACCTTGGTTGGACCCACCGTATCTTGCATCGTTGCTGATCAGTTCCACCGACTTAAATTTGGCGATCGTTTCTTCTACCAGAACCCTGACCAGTTCACTCAAGGTAAAGCCAAAGAGACCGACCATTATGATCCGGGTTTCAATAAAATACGTCATAACAGACCTTTACAATACCGGTACCCTTGATTTTCGCGGAGGATCCTTCGACCGTGTGATCGACTGCTTTGACGTTCATTCAGAAGTTTTACGTCAAAAATATCACATCACGAGCCTTTATTGGCGTTACTGGTCTTGAAAACTAGCAAACCTCAGAGAGAGCTGGCTTAACAGGAATTTGAGCACAGTGCAAAGTTACACATGACTTCTTTTGAAGAGATACAATTTCACTTATGGTAAAATTTGAGGCAATTAAGAAAGAGGAGTAATAGTTGAACGCCATTTTTCTTTAAACTGAGATGAAACTAAATCAAAGGTAATTAAAATCATCTTCAATAACGGAATCGCACATTAACACTGTAACAAGACTTCACTTACACAATTTGGACACCTATTGTGCTGTTTACATTGCACCATAGAAAACTACCGAAGTTAAAAGTTCCACTCAGCTCAGTGTATATAAGGCAAGCAATATTCGAGATATTATGATACCTCTCAGCCCGATTTTGCTGATTTCTTTCTTCATGACAGCTCAGATCGACGAGATCAAGAAGGCAACCATGGCTAGGGTGATGTGTGATAACCTCGAAGCCATCCAAAAGATACAGCCTGGCGTATTTATCAAGCCGTTCAATTTCCAGCCTCCCGTATCAGACGGCGGCGAGGAAGTTAATGCTCGCCAATGGGAAATGAGGTGAGTTGATAGTAGCTTGAGTGGAGCGAAAAGTCTGATGTGGCTCCCGGCAGTGTATCATACATCAAGGGCACTGAAAGCAAAATTTAATGAGCAATGACATGTATACAGATTTTGTACATTTCAAAAATTCAATCAGACCGATTGCGCCCGCTAAGTCACGTGATATATAGTGGGTATTAAACACCAACGAACACGGCGTCCTCTATAGCAAACTGTGCCATAAGTGTAATTTACCAAAAATAAAGTCAATACACAGACTAGTGATGAGCTAATGACTACATAAAAAAATCGGCTTCATATTTGGAACACAACACTTAAAACACACTTTGCTATGGGGTTTGTTGGTTTTTGATACCCACACTAGGTCACTTGACGTAAAGGGCACAGTTAGTCCAATGAAGAGGACCCGGGGATAGCATGACGGTATTCCGCCGGCGATTACATGCCCAATCACTTGACCCCGTAGTTACACCACTAAATGGTTACCTCAAGCCGAGTGCATCCACGTGAAGGTGATTTTTAAATCAAATCCACGAAGATTTGCCTTTGTGCCATATTTGATTTTATTGTCCTTTTTTGCTTTGTCATTTTTAAAGAGTATTTTGGAGGAAGCACTGAATTTGTTTTTTAATGTTCATGTTAGTTTGTATATTGATGAGCATAATCATGACGTCCAATCGGATGAACCATTGATCACCCAAGTTGCCCATTGCATCCGGTTCCATGTTTCCTCGTAGTACTCCGTGTACAGTGGGCGTGGCTTAAAACGGAAGTGGTGTCACACTTACGAACCGGTTCAGCCCGGGCCTACGCACTCGGACTTGAACGCGTGCTTCTTCCCGAGTGACAGAGCTCTTCTGCTATACCGAAATGGCTCGTAGCGTGCAAAAGTTAACATGTATGCCTATACAGGACTGAAGTGTGTGATCAAACAGTTCTAGTCTGAATGACATGTAATCATGGAGTCATAATGACGTCGCGGCTAATTATGACATTGCCTTTATAAAGCACTCCTCAGACCGTCTGTTCTATTCTGTGAGTTCTGTTTACCTCTTCAGGTATGACTCCTTTTATGAGTACAGCAGGTCTGGCACCTGGCCTCACAAGAGAGCTACTGTGTTGGATGGCTTGGATAACTCACGTGTGGAATGCGCCTCGGACAAGATACCAGTCGTCGACCTCTCGAAATTCATCTAGAATCTGGGCACTCACAAGGGCGGATTCAAAACCAAATTTCGGGGGGCGGGGTCCACATTTTAGGGGGGCAGCAAAACTTTCTTTCTGTGAAACCTTGTGGTCTTTCCTAAGTGAGGCTAAACATTGGGGCTTTTTACATACTTTTTGAAGGAAGAGAAATTACGAGGGCCCACGAAATCGCATTCCTCTATTTCAGAGCACAAACGACATTCAACTGGCCTCCCCTTTTGGAAGAGGGATAACTCCCTCCAATCTATGGTCACACACCTTATACAATTTATGGCAGAAAGATGGCTGCATGCAAACAATGGTAGGTGGAAAATATCTTATATCTTTGGGTAAAATGAAGATGTTGGTCGCACAACCTTACCATTGTGAAGTAAACATTCTTTAATTGTATGTTTGAAAGGTGAATCACTTCTAGTCTGAACTGTGATGTCTATTTTGGAAAAAAAAAGAATATTAAATTTTATTTAGCGTATTGGTTGCCTTTATTGCATTTGGGGTAGGGCCTACATGTATATTCAGATTGATGAGGTTACGCACATCCCCTTTTAAGGTCTTTGAATGTGAGTCGAGTCTAATAATTTTTGAATGAGTATTTCCCCGGTAAAGGTGTATTTTTGACATTCAGTAGGGTGTAAGATTTGATTCTAGAATAACTGGCACAAGCTACATTTTGCTACATTTTCAGTAATTTTTTTTTCAATTTGGAAACACTAAAATAGAAACAGTTGAGATTAAAATTATGCATTAGTAGTCTGTCCTTTGTTGGAATCGACAAAGGTTTTAAGTGGTTATTTTTGCTTAATTAAAGAAGATCTTGTCTTATTGAGACTATTTGACACTGTGTATACATTAAGATACCAAAGTTCATTTTTTTGACAAGAGAGTAACCTTGCTAAGTTACAAGACGAGGTACCACACCGGAGCGTGCATTTGCCACTGACGTTCTTAAGTCTTTTCGGCGCGAAAAGGTATTACCTGAAATTCCATCTGCCTTCCTCCTAGAGTCCTAGCTGTTTCTGTGATATGCTTAGTGGAGCGAGCACAAGAGTCTGCTATATAACTATATACCTATAGTCATATTTTGTACGAGTCACTCTTGCTCATATACCCAGAGAGGGTGCTCTTCCACAATAACAGTAAGCCTAACATCATAACACAACTGCAGTTTCCAGTGCCATTTGTCTACAAAATAATATGGCACACCATCGAACACGAAACTCATTCACTCTTCCTGTTTCCGCTCACTAAAAGAATGTAACTGGATTTGCATTGCATTATTAGGCACAGGCCTACAGAGATCTAGTTCCTATATTATGGCCTCTGAAACGCTTAAAGCGGCCCTGCTGTCTATAACAATATTGAAATATATAGGCCTAATTGCATGTATACAAGCATGAAAGTAGCATTTATCAGGTTTAACTATGAAGATGATTATTAAGTAGATGCTGTTGTATCAATTAAGAAAACCTAAAAGGTATCAGACTCACAAGAACAATTGTGGTGTAAATCCCAGGGGTGGGGGTATAACCCCCCCCCCTTTTTGGGGGGGATGGGCTAATGAATCACCCCCCCCCACTTTGTTTTAGTTAGCAAATGTTTAAGCGGAGGACGTGTTACAACGACTTAATGCATTCAATATCACTCAAAAAGGGAAACAACTTCAAAAGACATAAATATGCTATTCTGAATACATAATTACAGATGTACATCAATATCATGACCATCGATCTCTATACAGAGTCATATGGTTACCCCCCCCCAGCTTTTCAAATGTTTATGGCCGGCCAGGTCATCCTTCCCCCCGCCTTCCCCCATTCCAAATCAGCCCTAATTCCCAGCACAAATTTTACCCCACTGAAAGAAATGTTTACCTTCACAAATTATATGCATTGATTCAGTAATGGCAGACAATCCTGCCCTCTATGAGCAAAACAATGAAACTTGACATCTTGATAATTTGACGTAAGGACGTAATCTTGGGGCACCTTTTCCATTGCGCAAAGTTAGAATCTCGTTCGCGAGTAATCATATGCTATCTCAAGCGTTTTGGTGGTAAATCCCTAGAGTTTGGGCTTGGATAACAAGAACCGGATTTTAGTCTGTGTATGCACCAGGCTCTGTTTAAAATCAAACGTTCAATGCTGCAGCTGTATAACCCAAAGGTGCAGGCTCCACGGCTTCAGTTTTTTTAATAGTTATTTTGAAATTAAAACAAAATTATGTTTAACTCCTCTTTCAAAACGTAGGAGTTAAAATGACAGCTGCTTAACCTTTGATTATGACTTGTACAAAAAGTACAAATATAGCTTTGACTGAATAATTAGCAGTCTCTAACCTCTTGAGTGATACCAGGCGAAATTCAAAAATTTATAATTATAGATCCCATGAGATAATCATGTTGTTGTGACATTTCAGCTCTGTACACACAGGATGCATTGTTTTAGTATTCAATTAAGTCAACAGTCCCTAATTTGATGTGAATGATTACAGATGCATCGTTTGGACATAAAATGTTTTGACAAGTATAGAATTGTTGCTTCACCAAAACAAGATGAACTGTTTTCCCGTGGAACGTGTAAGTGCTGTGAAATAAACGCAGCATAAACCAGCCATTTGGAAAAGATGAAATTCTACGACTATTTAAAATACCAGTGAAGTACAAGTGGAATCGCGTTTATGATTCAGAATGGCTGCCGCCAGAACTTTGAAGTCGTTTTCCTCAAAATGGTCATTTTTTCAAGTTTCACTCTTTTGCCTGGACAGGGCCAAGACACTTCACAGAGGTGAGTAAATTCATATCTTTATTATTATTTTTTTATTTTTACTAATTTGTTCATAGCCAGGGCTGAATTGTCAGATTCGTTACAATAATTTTTAAAAATTCATGAAAATATCAAATACACTTAATAGTTGAACACTTAAAAATCTGTTGACCATAAAAAACAAATGTACATTGGCTACATAAATATTACAAAAAAGAAGAAACACCCCCCCACCAAAAAAGTACATGTACATTGTACAGATGGCAAAAACGCATAGCATTAAACAAAACACTGCATGACTCTTCTAGTCACTACTCTTCAGTAATCGTGTCAAATTTGGGATGGCACTTTTACCTTATCTTCCAACCAGGAATTTTGTTTCGCGGTAGGAATGTCCAAGAGGGGTTCTCATGTTGCGACTAGATGTGTTTTTGATAAACCAGTTCAGATGCTCTAACTTAAGGCAAGATTTGGCAAAGGTTAAACATAGTTCCTCCCGTGTTTGATTTAGTGTCGTGATCTCTATTTCAGCGAGAGAACTTTCATAATTGGTGAAACTGGGACCTAGGTTAATTTTATAAAATTCTTTCAATGGACAAAGTCTTACTGGTTGTAAGGCCCGAATGCTAGACAGGGCCAGTGTACTCAAGGATTGGACGAACGTGTGTTTTATAAATGATTACCATGTCTTGTTTTGTTACTCCAATTTGTTTTGCTAATCTTCCTAAAATATGAAGCCGCTTACTGCCCTTAGCAACCATCTGCGGGACACGTTTGTTCCATTTTAAGTTGTTCTGGATCCAGACTCTAAGCAATTCATAAATTCAAAGATACTGTCATTGATACACAAAGAAGGTTGTTCAAGTTGGGTTTCTTCAAAATGGAAATGTATTAATTTACATTTAGATGGATTCAGTTTAAGTTATTTGAAATAGACAATTTTTTTAGATTTGTAACACCATCCTGAATGGAGGAAACCCGATCTAACATCCTGACTTATCCTAAGCGTATGTCATCCACATATTTCCAACTTTGACAAAGCGAATCTTTGCACGCGTCATTAACCATATAGCCCGAAAGACAATTGGACCTAGTTTGGTGCCCTTGGCAACGCTTCGTGAAAAATGTTCCCGACCTGAGAGGGACGCGAACCTGCTGGCGTCTTCTTGGAAGAATTGTTTCGGGTCTATTACCCCAACTCGGCACTGTCAAACGCCTAGAGAAGTCGGTTAACAGGAGCGCACCAGCTGTATGGGGTGTGTAACTGCCCTTGTAAACATCATCAAATAGAGTAGGTAAACAATGAGTAGTGGACAACAGCGTTGTATTCGAGTCCATTTCACAAGTCCCTTCACAAGATCAGTCACAAGTCGAATCAGCCCCTGGTTCCAATATGTACGACTGAAGATTACCCCATTTGCTAGGCACGAAAACATGTTCTTTCTATAAGAGAGGGTTTGCAAACTAACCCTCTACTTGCCCCCCATAACATATCATAAAATCTGAATCGGAAAGCTAACCAACCACTTTTTATGTCCGCTTACAAATTAAATTTAAAAAAACGGACATAAAAAGGGACAGAATTGAACACGACCCGCAACAGCCAGCCCAAACAAAACAACCATGGAGGAACGTCACTGGATGGGAGAGTGCCATTATCACTCAAACACAGGCCAGTTTTAGGCACAAGGGTAAACAATTGTCTCAGCTTATTTGAATAGCTTGTGCATAGGCTTAAGACTGAATGACTTGCGATGGACTTACAGGGACTTGCCTTGACTTGTGATGACTAGAGTACAGCACTGGTGGACAATCAACTGAGACTACCTATAGAGTATGGACTACCGACCTGATATCTATAGATGTTACCTACCTCCATGATGTTACCTCCAATGTCAGCCATGAACGACTTTGAATAGAAATGAAACCCTTAAATTAACAAATTTTGACAATTGCGATAATTTTGATAATTGGCTTCGGTTTGGAAATAGAAGGTGGATGTTCCTCGGAATTGGTGCAACGATGGCGACCTTCCCAAACTTGAGGGACAATGCCCTCTTTATGTGAACAGTCAAAACTATACAAAAGCGGACGCGCCACGACTTGCAGGCTCCCATTGGACAATCGCTGAACGTTGCGCGTTAACTTCCGGTTCCATGTAAACGGCGATCAAAGCATGTGAGTATTTAACTCTGTGTGCAGTGCATGTGCAGTGGGCGTGGTTGAAACTGAAGTGATGTCACACTTACAAACCGGATATATTAGCGAATACGAATAAACCAATAGATTTCATGGTACAGAACCCGGTATCTGACCATCCAAGCACCCTGAAGACATTTGCATGAATTTGCACGCTTAACCACAAATGTGATCAGAAATGAGCAAATTAAAAAACAGTGACCAACCATATGGTCATTGTGTTCAATCGTATTTCAGCCCATATTCTTTCCTCGTGTCCATACGGTGACCTGGTCTTTCTCATCGGTTTATCAAAGGCAAATATTACTAACTGAAGCAGACACATTTCAGTCGCGGAAATACGTGATTAATATGCATTGTTTACACATTTCATATTGGTTCAGAAAACGCTGAACAACCCACCTGTTTGGCCTTGTAAATAATGATTTAATTATACTGGGATAAATTTCACCATTTAACCGTTAAGTGTCGGTACCTTCTCCACTTTCTCTTTCTCTGATTGGCTCTGTCCACGGGCGTCGCTAGAGCGTTTTAAAAGGGGGGTGCCCCATGAAATTTGCCGCCGGACCGTCACGCCAAACAAGTGTACTCTATCTTCTTTAATTTTCATTCACCGTTCTTCTTGTATATTTTGCTCACAGACAATGACTTTGCCGACAAAACTAAACAATGGGGGTTGTGACACTACCGACACCCCCTTTCTAGTGACGCCTGTGGCTCTGTTTTGTTGCTTGTATCAACTTTTCTAACGTAAAATCTGACTGGCTGAGGAACCATCCACTCCACAGCGACTGCCCATTCGCATCAATTTGTTGAATGCAGGCATGCACTGATTGGCCAATGCAAACGCCGTCTATTACTTACAATCTACATAATTGCTGGCAGAGATGACTATCGGCGTGGTTATAGGGCAGCTTGCTCGGAAAATCTGCTGATAAATGTGAATCAACGTTAACAGCTCACCTTGTCGAACGTCGCTGTGAATTAAAACTCTTCGCAATGTACAGGTGAGGTTTTTCTAAAA